GAAACAAGTAATTCACCCCGGATTCCGGATCCGGTCCTCACCTGTCTCGGCTTGAATCTGTAAGAAGAGTTTTCACACACGTTCGGAATGCGCGTGCGACCTCGGCGTCTGCGGTTCTGGGTGCTCCTCGATCTTGGGCAGTCACTCCTAGGCGCCCGACGATCCTCGGCGAATCGTGTCCGGCGGTTGGTCTTTCCTGGGTGTCAGTGAGTACGCAGACTTCACGACCTATCCTTCTTGAGGCCTGTGCTCTTGGACGCAAAACAAACTCTTATTGATCTTTTAGTTCTAGCCCTTCCGGGCTCGCCCCCTTTGGGGCTCTTCTTCTTTCTGCCTTTCTTCATGTATCTAGTAAAGGTTCTGGATCCTCACGGTCTCGTTTGCCTGGGATCCGCGTTCATTCTTCGGAATATCTTGGTTTCAGCATGGTCGGACGTGACTTGAAGCTCCAGATGTCAGGACACTCATCATTGATTGCGGCTCTTCACGATCTTCGGATCTGGGATCGGCAGCACGGTCGACGCTTCGGGCAGGTCCACCATAGTCAATGCAAGTAACTTGGAGCTCAAGGTCCACGGCACGCCAGGGTCTCAGGCACAACTCTTCGGCAGTCAGTTCACTGGATCTTCAAGGTCCGGCATCCGGGATGTACTTCAGGCTACCGTCGGCATTCAGAGTGCTCCACTCGAAGTCATCGGCATCCGGGATTCTGGGTCGTCCTTCAGGGTATTCATCACTCGCTCGTTCTGGGCGTTGCGTCATTCGGGGTATCCATCCATGTTTCAGGGCACTTGGGTCACTATTGTCCTTGGCGTTCATCACTTGGTCATCATTTGGAGTTTCAAGGTGTCTTCTACGTTGTCCGTCCGGGGTTGGCTTTATTCCTTCGTCATCAGCTCCATTCCAAGTTCTTCTCTCAAGTCTTGGTCCATGGCTGCTCTGGATCACCAACCAGGAAACTTCTCGTCTTCTCGTCTTTGTACTTGCAGTCATCCAGGGTGGCTTGGCTCTCGTCGTTCTGGATATCTCTTCCCTAGCCAATCACAGCACTTCGTTGTGGGTCCCTTGTCGCCCGGGGTGTCCAT